AGTGAATGTAAGTAGTGTGTGAGAAGTGTATATATGTGTAACCTGAATTAGCCCTTTTTATTCAGCAGCAAGCCTGACTCCAGCACCGCCACCCTATGTGGTATCACTCCAGCGGTGTCACTCGGTGTCACTGAAAGTCTAGCGTCCATTAGCACAAATCTATAATCTAATACGAACACTGGTTCTCGCGGGTCACAAAGTTTAGCGGTTTTAACCGACACAGGAAAATATCTCCGAGTTAAATCAAATGGCACAAAGCAACTCGTTGACGCGAATTATTATTGTCAGAATTTTTTTTTTTTTATTTATTTATTCATAGAAAGAGTGTTACATAATTTACATTTCAAACTTTGCCAAACTGTATGCCAGTTTGTCGGCAACGCACCAGTTTATCGTTTCACACTCCTATATAACAATATAAGTTACTTATAAATACTTAAATTAACATACACATAATTAAAGAAACACTCACTAAACACAGCTAAAATGGGACTAATATACGCTTTTACTAATTTCAAGTCCCGTACCCGTATGCCGTCAATACCTGGTGCTTGTTGCAGTCCATGGAGTCAATAACTTTACATACATCCTTCCCCTCGATTTTCCTAAAACAAAAACTTACATTACAATCTTTAACATAACTAGGTCTATCAAAGAAATATTTATGACACGAATGGTTTAATTTTAATTGTTCAATTTCTTGTGTAAAAGTTAAACAAAAGTTATTACATATGTGTTCCATAGTTACCTTATCTCTTAAAAAGTATTTTTCTATGACATGATCTGGAGTTGACATTGACCTACCCAACCAATTATTTAGGCAACTCCACACCTTACGCATGTCTCCATTACAATCCCTAATATTTTCCCGCTTTTGTGAATTTTTAGCAACATTAATCATCCGACAAACTTTATTCCGATACGTAGTGTACTCTAAGCGCAGAGTTAAAGATTTCGGGTTAGATTTCCATTTTTTAAATAATTTATCTTTATGTTCCATCATTAGAACTAGTTTACTACTCGCCCAGATATGTGTTCCACGGGACGTATTACCTATTACTTTTCTAGAAGTTGCGTAAATGTTGCTAAAAATTTCACAAAGTTTATAATATTGCTCAGTAGGATTATTAATTTTAGCCAGATCATTCCAGTCCACAGTACGTAGTTTGCATTTTATAGCGTTATTGTCTAATACTTCACGGGGGAGTGAGACTTTGTCTCGTCTCCCTCCCACCATCGTTAGTCCCGTTAGATAGTGATCAGACACACTGCACAATAATACATACGCAAACAGCCTGTTCGGGCTAGCAGTACGCACAAATACATGGTCGATGCAAGACGTTACTCGCCGCTCCGCAACCACTACCTCGCGTGTTACATCTCGGATTCCACACTGTAGGCCTAATTCACTAAGGGTATTTAAGTAAAAACTTGACGAGTTATCTATTGCATCCCCCAATATATTGATGTTACAGTCTCCCATGAAGACAATCTCCTTACGAGATGGTATTGTGCGTATTATGGATTTTATTTCACTGATAAAAGAGTTTTTATTAGAACTTGGCGGTCTATATGTAACTAATACGTATATTTCGCGGTCTTGAATTTTCAACTGCCCTTTTATAATTTCACTATACAATGTTTGGGTATTATTTTGTAGGATCTCAAAGTGCAGGCTACTTTTCACATATATAATAATTCCACCTCCTCGTTTTTCTTCTCTAGTGTACGAGTAACAGTTATAACCTTTCATCTCAAATTGATATACCTCATCCTTTTTGATATTTATCTCTGTGAGACAAATAACATCTAGGTTTGTCAAGCAATTACTTATAAGAACAGTAAGTTCGTTGAAGTTTTTTCTTAACGAGCGAATATTTATATGTATGAAATTAATTGAATTATGGTTATTTATTAAGTAGCTTTGCCATAGTTGTAAGTTTTCAAATTTTTTATATTCAATATCTTGAAAGTCCATTAATCTGGTATAAACGTGTAATAATTGTTAGACTTACTCAGTATTTTTATTTTCCAGATTCTTAGTAATTGTATTTATGTCACTCTCACATCCCACACTTTCAACTTTTTTCTCATGCTCATTTTTTCGCAATAATATTTTACCATTCTGTATCCAAATATACTTAAAATTATCCTTAAGCTGCACTTTAGTGGACCAAAATAGTTGTCGCGTTTGGCGAGTTAATCGTTCATTAAAGTATATACGTAGATTACTATTATTATTATATATCGTGTGATTAGTCATCGCCGCCGCCTTCCCGTTTTTAATCCACATAAAACGTGCTTCCCTTGATCGTAATGATACAATTATAGGTTTTGGTTTATTATTTATGTATTGTCCCTTTATTCTCCAACTTTTAACAATATCCTCATTTCTTAAATTCAGTTTCTTGGCAATATTTTTCACCAGTTCTACAACATTTTCTCCGTCTTTCATTTCCACATTAATCAGTTCAATGTCTAAATCAAACTCTTTTTGTTCCAATAACCTTAAACGTTCATCCAGAGACTTACTATATTTATCCAGGAATGCACTTTTTTGTTTTAAGTCCTTTAACAGATTTTCTTGTTTCTTTGAACAATCCATATGTTCTTGTAGATTTTGGCCTATTTTCGTGCACTTATTTTCTATATCTTCCATAGCTTTTTCAGTCTCTAGATTTTTTATTTTTATTTCCACTATTTCACTTTTAATTTCACTAACGTCTGCTTTTATTTGGACATAGTTCGCTTCCTGCTCCTCCCTCATCTCATTTAAAAGACTATGCATAGATTTTATCTCCTCACGAAAGGCATTTATTGTTTCATTTAACATGCTTGATGAGGGACAGCATGCTCCCCTATATCTTCGACTGGAGTGAAAAGTTGGGTTGTCACTGTCAGAATCGGACGAACTTCGCTTCTTTTTTTGTCGTGCACTGACCCATTGTGCATGAATATTTGGGTCAGAGCTATACTGTGATTTTTTATCCGGTGTATTTGACATATTAACAGTCTCGGCACGCTTCCGTTCGTAGATGCCGGTTTAAATTAGGCCTATTTGAACTGAAGACGCCGGGGGATAATTATTATTTTGCTGTAGATAGATGCTAGTTGTGGGAGGAATGCGCTTGCACCGTGTCCTCACGCCGCCAATCTCGTCCAATCACAGAAACACACACACACGTCACAATCCTTTCACTTTCCGTAATGATAATTAGAGGAACTAAGACGCACTCGTTATCACTTTCTATCCTATAGCAGTGTCCTTGTCTATTCGTAATTAGCACAATACAATACTTGTTCCACGTCCACCCTTGCGAGCGATCCACGAGAAACTCAATGCACTTATGCATGCAACCACTGTACCACTTGACGTTAATTAATAGTAACGACGTTAATTAATCGCTCAAACTCAAAATTCAGCGATTCACTATGTCAGTCTATCAGCTCTATTGTACATTTAACTAACTTTAACGTTCATCGTAAAACCAAACACGTGATACCCGAAACAAGTGACGAACAGTAGTTCAAAGTTCAACATTCAAAGTTCCGGATTCGTTTATCACCAAATTACAAATAGGGAACTAACGCGATCTCTTCACGAGTCACAAAGTTCAGCGTTACAAACAACAACGAAATTCCTTCGTACTATATTAAATACAACGCCGCAATCAAAATTAGAATAACCAAATTCGCGGAGGTCTATACGAAAACCAAACATTCAATAGTAAATTAGGCGCGCACAACACACACATTCAGACGTTGATCGCAATCAATGTTAAGTTCCTAAACAATTAACTGATCCGCGCCGTCAATCCATTTTTCTAAACTCAACAAAACTCTCGTCGGTGCATAAAAACTTGCTAGCAAAACCCAACACGATATAGAGGTTATACCGGGGGAGAACAGGCCGTGCTAGTCTGCACTCCTCTCAAGCTACTGTCGTCAGCCCGCGCGTCGAGCGACTGCCCTGCATTCAATCACTTCCGGCCCGCCCCACAAACAACCAATCCGATTTCGCGCGAACGTCAAACGGTAGGAAATCACCGCTCTGCGCGCCCCCTGGCATCGATTCTTGAAATCAGCGCTTGGCGCGAACACGCGTGCTAGGCCAGAAGTGTTAGATATAACCTTTGCTACCAATAACGTATCCAGGCGGATGACTGATTGGCATGTTAGTAGTGGAAACTCGATATCTGATCACAGACACATTAATTTTGTGATTAGGGCATAACCAACTTACGAAACTGTTGCTTTTGGGGATCCAAAAGCGACCTTCTGAGGTGTCTATAGAGATAGCCTAAGGAGGAATTTGGAAACGTTTCCTAAAAGCATAAAAACGATTGAAGGTCTGGAGTTAGCGGCGGAGACGGTAACCGTAGGTATGCGTGAAGCCTTCGAAAACAGTTGTCCTGTCAAAACCAAGGCCTCAATACGAAAAGTTCCTTGGTAGAACACTAATCTAAAGCAGCTTAGGTAAAAGACCAGGAAACTACGAGGCTAAAAAAACCAAAGAATGGGACATTTATAGTGCAGCCTTAAATGAGTATAATAATTAGGAAAGCGAAGACAGCATCGTGGAGGAAGCTATGCGAGGAAGTCTGTCGAGTCGAGTCTTTGCCTCGCAGTGCAAGACTACACAAAATGCTTTCGAAAGCTAAACCTAATCAGATCGGGCTTTTTAAAAAGCCTGATGGTAACGTCACTAATAGTGAAACACTGAAGCTACTTGCGTCAACCCATTTTCCAGGGTCACATATGACTCTGGCCTCGAACTCTTTCAGAGCCCTACGAAGGCCTTGTAATGAAGACTGGTGTAGGGCTACAAAGATAATAAGGCCAAACCTAGTGCAGTGGGCTGTTGACTCCTTTAAATCATATAAGACAAGTGGAGAGGATGGAATAATGTTCATCCATCTACAGATGGGTATCGATATCCTTCTTCCTTATCTGGTAAAAATCTTAAGAGCAAGCTTTGCATGGGGATATATTCCAGAACGATGGACAATTGTCTATTTATACCTAAGGCTGGTAGGAAGGACTACGCCTTACCAAAGTCCTTTAGACCTATAAACCTTTCTTCCTTCCTTCTGAAGACATTGGAAAAGGTTATAGATAGATATATTAGGGATGTAGTTCTAGCTAGGCCTATAAACTACAACCAAAGTGTTATTGACAGGGTCGAAAAAGCGCAGGAGGATAAAGAAATAGCTCTTTGTGCCTTTCTAGACATTGAGGGCGCCTTCGACAGTAGCCCTACATCACTGCTGGTTGGGGGCCTGACACCTAAAAATGTTGACCCCACATCCATCAGGTGGGTGAAGTCGATGCTCTCAAACAGAAAGGCAAAAATAGAGCCGTTTCAAACCTCGATTGAGATTGCAACTACAAGAGGCTGTCCACAAGGTGGTGTTTTATCACCCCTCTTTTGGACTTTTGCAAGTTGACCAATTACTGTACAAGATGGCAGACCTTCGCATTGACACACTGCGTTATGCTGATGGCCTTGTGATCATTGTGAGGGGTTTTTGCCAAAGTACTTTATCATCAATCATACAAAGAGCCCTAAACACCATAAACAACTGGTGCAGGGCTAACAGTTTATCGAATAATGCTGATAAACTGTTATAATACCCTTAACCTAAAAGAGACGGTTGGACAATTAAGTCGCACCAAAACTTAATTGTAAAAAAGTACCATTCTTCCCTAATTTTAAGTACTTGGGCGTAATAATCGACAAAAACTAACGTGGAGCTCTCACCATAGCAATGTATGTCATAAGGCAAAAATTGCTTTAGGTACGTGCAGTCGCATGGTCGGGGACAACTGGGGCTTGTGTCCCAGTATGATCCTATGGCTGTACAGCAGTATAGTGAGGCTGACTCTTACCTACGCCTCCACAGTCTGGTGTAATAAGACCAACCAAAGCACGACTGGGGACAGACTAAATAGTCTACAAAGGACTGCCTGCTTAATGGCAACTGGAGCGATGCGATCATCGCCTGGAGCGGCTCTTAATGCAATTCTAGGCTAACCCCTTGATATTTACTTAGACAAGGAGACGAAGGCTAGCTTGTATAAGATTAACCCTTAGGGCGGCTTGAGCTTGCTTTCCTATAGATTGAGATCCATGCTCGACTCAATCAAGGAAATACCGGTCTTATGCATGATCTCAGATATCATGCGTCCACTATATACTTTTAACAAAAAGAATACAGTAGAACTACACTCCAGAGAAGGCTGAATGGACAGGTCATATGATTTTACGTGGTAGAGCCATGCTGTAGCTATATTAGTAGTATAGTTGTAGCACGAATGGGTCAGCTCGACCAGGGAAGGACCACGCTCTCACAGAAAACCAGCGTAAAATAGCAGCTTAACGCTGCTGTGTTTCGTATGGTGAGTGTAGAGAATCGGAGACCCCTTTTACTGGCAAAGAGGCATTCCATCTTAGTCCTCACGGGTGACAACGCATCTGCATTTTGATTTGTAATAGAGGATAGATGTAGATGTCTATGGGTCACAGTAACCACTTACCATCAGGTGGACTGTGTGCTGGTTTGTCACCCTATCCTATAAAAAAGGTCGGTAGCCTTATATGGTATACCGATGGGTCAAAAATGGGCTTCAACGTAGGCTTTGGAATTTATGGGGAGAGACCCAAATTCAAACTTAGTATGAATTTGGGTTAATTCACCTCTATCTTCCAGGCAGAAATTTTTGCCATACTTCAGTGTGTGAAAATCAATCTGCAAAAACACTACGTTAACCATATAATCTATAAAAGCTTTTAAAAAAATTTACTTAGCAAACATCCGCGCTTTAAAATAAAATGATGTGTCTTACCTAGTATGAAGAGCACCTCCCGCCTTCCCTCAATTGCGTGCACTATCCCCGTCACCACTAATCCCATCACCGCTACTCCCAACACCACTAAACTAGGCAAGACACACCACTGACGACAATACGACACGTGTTTCGCCTCTACACGAGGCATCCTCAGGTGATATAGACTCTACGGTGGCTAACCGCTAAGTGAGCGATGGGCCAAAACAACTGTCTTTTATACAGACCGCTGACGCAACCGCTCTCTACTTAAGGAGCGAGCGACTGCGTCACGCGATAAGACATAAGACCAATCACCGCTGGAGTTACACAGCCGTTTCTAAAATTAAAAACAAACTGCTGAGCAACGCCCGCCTACCCTCCAACCACGCAACCAATCGCCGATCACCGTGAGGGTGACAAACGACCATATTGCGAGGCTCTCTATTATTAGAGAGCAGGCTTAAAGATATTTGAGAGGTGAGTTAGTAACATTTGTTTGTTCGTTCAGCAGTGCAACGTTCTGTTATTACTTTTTAATATCTCGAACTGTTCCAGCACAGACAACTGCAGCCCTTTATTACACGTATGTAAGACTTTAAAGGAGTGGTCGTTGGCTAGGTTGTGTCCAGTGTCCAAAAGATGTTTGGCATAATGGGATTTATCGGGATTGCAATTCCTGTACGAGGCTAAATGCTCTTTATAACGTGTCTTGAAATTGCGACCAGTCTGACCCACGTAAACGGCGTGGCATTCGTCACAAACAAGTTGTTAGTGTAAACACCTGACTTTTGATGAATATCCCCGAGTCATCGTGTCATTCGTGGCAACATAAAGTAGCCGCTTTTTATTGTTACATTAACCGTTTGTTCACAACACGCAGCCGCAGCCCTTTATTACATACGTGTAATAAAGGGCTGCGGCTGTGTGTGCTGGAACAGTTAGAGATATTAAAAAGTAATAACAGTAACGTTGCATTGCTGAATGAACAAACAAATGTTACTAACTCACCTCACTTAAGTATCTTTAAGCCTGCTCTCTAATAATAGGGAGCCTCGCAATATAGTCGTTTGTCACCCTCACGGTGATCGGCGATTGGTTGCGTGGTTGGAGGGTAGGCGGGCGTTGCGCGGCGGTTTGTTTTTAATTTTTGTAAAATTAAAATTAAACCGCCGCGCAAATAAGTATATGTTCACGAAAAGTTAAGTTTTGGTCTAATATTATCTCCAAATATTTTATGGAAGTGGTTTTAATAATAGAAGGACATGAACAGAAGTTATTATTACAACAATTATGAGCAATTAGTGAAAGAGACGGCGACGGCTGGGTAGAGTTTTGCATACTAAAAGAGATAAAATGTGTTGTATCGACATTAAGAGTAAGAAAATATTGTTGCAGCCAATGAGTAACTAAATTTAAACCGAATTGTGCTCTTTGGAACCATGGAAAATTTCTGCATTCATTTCACTATTTCAGTCTATCAACTTTATTGTACACTATTTCAATCCATCAACTTTATTGTACATTTAATTAACTTCAAACTCAACTAAATCCCCGTTAATCGTAATCAAAAACGCGCAACACACGGCACGAATAATGAACGGTGGATCAAAGTTCACTTCCGTTTTCACTCAGCAACAAATTATTTCTAGAACCGAACGCGATCTTCTCTAGGTTCAAAAAGTTCTGCGTTACAAACAACAAACTAAATTCCTTCGTACGATAGTAAATTAAACGCGCACAAAGACTCAAATTCTAGACTACAAAACCAAAAACTGGTCGCGCGAAATCGATGCAGCGGAAACCAAAATACGCTAATCAACCGCGCCGCTGCTGTCAAGCTACTGTCACTAGCCCACGAGGTCGAACGCCGGGAAGCGGCATCCCGCTGCCCCCTCCCCCCGGCTGCGCGCACGTCACCTCACACCATCGGGCGATGCACTTAGTCAAACGCGATTGGATGGCGTTTCAAATGTCCATGTTTGGGCCTAAACAAACAAACCCTCGTCCCGGACATAGGGACTTAAGTCCGCGAGCAAACGGGCAAGCGGGACAAGGTCGCGATGGCACGTTGCAAGACTGAATCTACAACCAAAACTAGGCCACCTTAGGCACCCAATCAGATCTTGCAACCTTAACCACCGCCTCAAAAATACCGCCCCAATGTGGGCAAGCCGGAGGGTCGGACCTCCACTGGATGCCCTTCCTGGACATCGCAGCATCTAAATAAGTCCTGTTACTGGGCAGAAATCCGACGACCTCTTTCAAAGACAGCTATCTGTGCCCCTATGATTCGTTTCGCAATCAGACCGGATCAGGTCTGCAAACCGCGACGCGATACGAAGCGGCCCAACATGGCCACAAAGGCTTCAGTGCTAAGGGCACTTACAAGTTCCACATGAACGGCGTCTGTAGAGAGGCACACGAAACGCACAGATAGTCCTTAGTATGATTTTTCAAGCAAGAAGGCATAACCAAGCCATCTACCATATAATCATTTACTCAATTGTGCGGCAACTGATTTCAATCTGATAATCTGCCAACTAGCTAGCCTTTTAGACATGTAGTCCTATGCTTATTTTTCAACCAAGTTTCAAAAGCATCAATACTCAAAACCACTGAATTAATTCAAACAAATTAATTTACCGATACGCATAGATCAAACAGACGAATTAAACAAAACGATAAACGTAAGAGACAGCCCTATTTCTCTTTCCAAATAAATATCTTCGATAGTGCCAACAAAACCTTATGACGGCTTCGTGGCGCAGTGGCTTAGCAATGAGTTGTTACGCTGGGGGCCGCGGGTTCGAATCCCGCACGGAACAAGTATTTGTATGGCCTACAAGTAATTGTTCCGGGTCTGGATGTTTGTCCTCGTGCAATCTATGTTTGTAAAATGCCTCCACGATACAGGAGAAAATCCTAGTGTGGGGGTAACGTTTTTTAAAAAAAGAACAAAAAAAATTTGAAAACAAAGAGAGGATTGATTCTTATTCGGCACAAATAGTGTTATTCAATTTCAATTTTCTTTTCAACAAAGCAAACACAATGATCAAATACATTTACAAAAACATATGCACACGTATTCAAGGAGTATATCAAATTCACCTTTTTACTTACAACCGCTACAATTACGAAACATTTCTTTTATTTAAAGCATTATTAATTAAGTGCTCGACCAAAATCAAAACTAGTAATCCTTGACAGCGTGATTCAACGCTCCAGGGGAGCCCTAGTCTTCTCACCAACCAAGTGGAGGCCACACAGCGCTGTGAACCCGAATTCAATAGAGCGTGGAACGCTAACAGTCGCCACTCGGGTTGCACGCCTTCACTGGGATCGTCGGCTCAGTGGAGGCGGCCGTGGTGGGAGCTAGGGCGGCAGCTAGCTAGGGCTGCTTCCATCAAAGGGGAGACGGCGATACCCCAACCGCGGCCACTCAGCTAACGGAGGTGAGAAGGGTCTAGCTGATTGCTGAGTGGCCGTGAAGTTCCTCTCCACACGCTGAGGGGGGGCGACGACACCCGCGCCCCTGGGGGAACGACCCCCCGACTTGTCGGGGGAGGGACTCCTTTCAAACCCAGGGGCTCGGCGGCTGGCAAGCGAGCGCCGAGTGTCG